TTTACACCACCTTACCTGGGAAGAACAAACAGAAAGACAGAAAGTGTGTGTATCAGCTGCCTTCGGAACAGTAGAAAAAATGACATTTTCTGTTGGCCATGTTTGTATGAATAGAGATTACACTCCTGGTGAGTTTCAAAGGTTAAGTCAATCGAAATCGGGACAAAGTATTGGATCAAAGGTGGTAACCCTGTCTTCGAGAGTTTGCTCTATGTAGTCACCATTATATTGTCTGAAATTTCTGATTCATTATTTCATTTTTTGTTCCAATGACATGTTCTCCTTCCTCAAGAAACTATTACCCAGTAGTCTTAAGAGAATATTAGTGTACAATCAGTGTTCCGAGGTGCCCAAATATGAATAAACTATTTTCGTGAACTGTAGCCAGGAAAAAATCCCTGAAATGGGGCGATGAGTAGACATTTCTACTACAGGATATATACTACTGAATTGCTTGAAACTACCAGAAAAGATACGTCTATCTCTCTTATTCATTTATCCCTCTGTCTAATACAGCTTCGAACCGAGTACTAAACAGTTTCTTCAGTCTGTACACAACAAATCACTGGCAGCCTGGGCGGAACCAACATCACCTCTTCCATTGGCAGTACTCGAGACGTCCTGTGAGGAAGTTTGGTTGTTAAGATTACTTGGTTACTGTCCAGACAAAGGATTTATCCCCAAATATCAGGATGTTCCATCGGATATTCCACAGTTGCGATCCTATCGATCAGCAGTACGACGGAAAATCAAACTGAACTAATTGAGATGCTCTCTGACACTTACTCGGTGGACTTTTGCTGAGTTCTATATCCAAATCTGCGTTTAAGTCAGACGAAATTTAAGGTTAACTCAATTTCTTTTTTTTGCCCGATTGTAACTAGTAGATTTTTATTCCACTTGAGTAGAAGATTTTCATCTGACAGTCTACTGGCACTGGATCCTACAAGACTCACAATTTCAATTGACCTGCACTAAATGAAAATCATTCCGCGGAGGCTGGGTCAACCGTTTG